AAAAGATAGATAGATAGATAGATAGATAGATAGATAGATAGATAGATAGATAGAGGGAACGGGATGGGAATGAACAACCTAGAAGAAGGAGGGGACACTTTAGATGATTGATAGTAATCACACTGACCCTGGTTTTGCTAGCTGTTGATACTTAGAAGCCAGTCATGTTTGTTCCCCTCAGCAATTCATCAAGAACTGCGACGCACTTTGGCTCTAATCTTCAGTTCATCTTTTGCGTAGAACCAGGATGTAGAGAACTCCAGCATAACGAGTAAACATGGTCCAGGCACGGCAATTTTTCAGGAGTGACCCCGCACAAATTCAGACATCGCACAGGTCACCTTACCCTGCTTCTCCTCTTCATGTATTTAACAAGAATTGCGCATGCTACTCCCGCAACGAAAAGAACACTTTGCAGATGAAAGAGATATCAATATTATACCAATTAAGAGTTAAGCTCGCGACCCTTTCTGCTGTTCTGTCGTTGAACTTTATCTTTGTGTGCTATTAGATCAGTGCGTAGCGTGCTTGACATTGGTACAGATGCTATTGACTCCTTTATGTGGCGTCCGACTGGACCGAACTAGACTTGTTTGGGGAGTTTTCAAGGCTCTCCGCGTATTTTGCTCGACCCTTCTGGAGGTTGACGTTGGATTTGATAGTTCTGCTTCTTAAATATCCTTACAGTACAGTGTTCAGAGGGGCGTAATATATTATGATAGACTTGAGATAGCGATTTATTTCTTAGTAGAAGACACGTAAAGTCTGAGATAACATGCGCCAACGGAACCAGGTCCTAACAACTTCGCTCTAATCTCGTCAAAAGAATTTCTTTACAGATCCGCTAGTGCAGATGTAGATGTAGATGTAATGAGGTAGAGATAAAATCAGAAGTAGAAACACGAGTCAACAAGAGGGGAGCAGGAAAAAGAGAAACACACCGAATGAAGACTTTGACGAAGAGGACGTCAGAGGCTTGCCAGGAACCCCTCTGCCAAAAAAGCTCAGGCTTGAAGGGAGACGAGAAGGAGGGAACGCAGGCTCGCTGGGGCAATCAGTCAAGCAGAAATGTTTACCTTGGTTTCCCGCAATAATGGGGACTCCGAGGCAAACACTCATCCATTTCTGGCGATGTTGGTGGCACGCAGGAGCCCGCGCTCTGGGGAAGGAAACCGAGGTGGACTCGAGACTCGTAGCCACTGATTGTGTCTCGGGTTTGCCGTTTTCGCGCGCGAACGGCAGAAGTCCTGGCAGGACGGGCCTTTACGTGGTGAAGGCTTTGAGACTGCTCAGGTCTGGGCCGGCAAGTTGAGCAGAACAATAGATGAGGGCTTGTGACACCTTTTCAGTCTCTATCCATTAAGCCCGCTGCGACGTCACAGGACGGGCTTCTCGGGAAATTCGAGACGTTCTCGAGTCTGTGAGAGCAAGGTGAAGGCCATATCTGTCTTGTCGTCTAATGTTTCTGCCCCTACAGTTGTCCCATGGTACTGCGGACAAGCCAAATTGAGACATTGTTAGAATTTCTGAATCTCAAAGCACCCTCACATACCGGAGTGGTGCTCTATATTAATTTTTTGTATGAGGATTAGCTTAATTTGATCTGATGTCGTTTTGGCTCTGGGTGGAGGTTGCTAACAGACAGCAAGCACTGCGTTTGAAGAAGATATATGTTGTTAAATCTAGCATAACATTAAAAGGAATACAAAATGACTCAAACATGACAGAATAACCATAAAGACCATCCTTCAACAAGCCAGTACTGTATAGATATTAACATGAAGACGTAACATCCTTCTCAGGTTTAAGTCGAGGGGAATTAAAGAAACAACTGAGAATCGAAGGAAAGTGAACGATAAGCGAGAACCGAACATGCAGACTGTATTCTAAAGGTTAGTTCAAAGGACTCGCAAAAGTAACATTTTGTTTTGATTTGTTTTGCAATAACGAAGAATAACACGCCCATAGGTTAATCATCTTTCACTCACAGAGCCACCAGTATTATTTATATTTATGGACCCCCCTCCCCTCTGCCCCCAAATCAATTTTTTTCTGGACAAGTTGTGTTTAAGTTATTTGGTTTTGGTTTTAAAAAAGAAAGTCACTCAAATGAGATAACTTTCATGATATTACGGTGATAGGAGAAAACAACAACAACAAAAAAGACAAGCTGAAAACTAAGATGTTCTTTAAAAGTAGACCCTTCAAATCTTAATACTGAGCTACATTGTATACCCATATGTTCTGCAGTTCCCTTTAGTCGGGTATCAGTTTATTTGTCAAAAATAGATCTATTTTTTTCTAACATACAAAATGACTTTTAGATTTTAGTGAAATAAATTTACTCCCAAAAAATATAAGCACTCGGTAAACGTAGTCGGTATTCTACTGAGAAGTAATTGGAAGTCTACTGAGAAGTAATGGATAATTTACTGAGAAGTAATAGATATTACTCTAAGAACCAATAGTGCCTTGTGGAGTACCTCAGAGGGATAGGGAATTTAATCTCCATCTTTGCCCAGTTTAGTCGCCAGACTTCAGTTAGAACTGTTGCAATAGTAATCTTTTGAGTTCAAAATAAGGATTTAGAATGACTTTATTGGTCTGTGGAATGGAATACCAAGCTAAGAGCTAAATTTCCAGTGTAATTGGCCTGAGAGAAGAAATGTTGACAGTCACTGTGTAATTCTGGCGACCATCTTGTCTGCCACATGACATGAAAGACAGAGGGAAAGAAGGAGGGGTTCATTTTGAATATTACGATTTTTCTTACTACACTTTCGTATTTATTTTTAAACTGTATTTTAATATTGCATTCAGCTTTCTGTCAGGTTAAGCCCATTGTTTTTGTATGAAGTTCTTTAGACCAAATTAAAATGTTCCGCACGCTTATAGCGACGCTCTTTCTGTACACTCCATAGATGTACACTATAGGTTTAAAAGGAGATAACTCTATGGTACACTCACAAAAGAGCCCAGGAAGAGGCAGGGGAAGGGAGTCATCGTTTTGAGCTTTGCAGGATGATAAAACTGTTTTGCGTCTTTAAAAAGCCACATAGAAGGGTTGATTGAGTATACTTGGGTATGTGT